GTCCAGCAGGTGCTTCTGCAGGTCGTCCACCGAGGAGAACTGCTTGTCGCAGCTCTCGCACACGTAGTGGGTGGACGTGGTCATGTAGTGCACCGTCAGGTGCTGCAGCAGGGACTCCTGGGAGTCGAAGTCCTCCTTGCACTGGGGGCAGGCCTGCTTCCGCAGCAGCAGCTCCAGGTGCAGCTTGAGGTGCGTCTGGAAGCTCTCGAAGCTGGAGAACTTGAGGTCGCACTGGTTGCAGGGGTACTCGCCGTTGGAGATGGCGTCGGCGCTCAGCGCCAGCCGCTGCCGCTTCGGGGACGACACCTCCACGTCGGAGGAGACGGGGCTCTGCTCTGCCTTGGACTTCTTGCCGTGGGCCAGCGGGATGTTCTTGTGGTTCTCCTTGATGTGCTTGGTGAGCTTCAGGATGGAGCCGAAGATGGGCGAGTTGGTGCAGTAGGGGCAGGAGTAGACCTCCATGAAGGACTGCGCGGGCCGCGCCACGGGGGACTCGAGCTTGGCGCCGCCCACGCCGCAGTGGGCCTGCTGGATGTGCTCGGTGAGGGAGGACTCGGTCAGGAAGCCCATGGAGCACTGGTTGCAGAAGAAGGCGTTGCTGCCGTCCGCCGGGTTGGCGCCGGGGCCGCAGTGGGACACGCGGATGTGCTCCTGCAGGCTGTTGATGTCGGCGAACATCTCGGGGCAGTAGTTGCAGTGGAAGGCGGACAGGCCGCCGAAGGGCAGCGCGGGGGAGGCGTGGTTCTTGTGCAGCTTGAGCACGTGCTCGTTGAGCGTGTACAGCGTGGGCACGGCGTCCAGGCAGATCTGGCACGTGTGGCTCTGCTGCGGCTTGTCGGCGTGCATGGTCTTCAGGTGGATCTCCAGCACGGCCAGGCTGGGGAAGTCCCGCTTGGAGCAGTAGGGGCAGCTGTACGCCACCTTGGACCAGCCCTGCCCGTCCTCCCGCATCTTCTTGGAGCCCCGCAGCGGCTTCAGGGTGGAGTCCGGGGTGGAGCCGCGCTCCACCGAGGCGCTGGAGTCGGGCGTGGCGCTGCTCATGGAGGCCACGCTGCCCAGCACGGGGTCGGGGCTGGCGCTGTGGTTGCTGGAGTCGGGCTGCCGGTGGCTGTCCAGGTGGCAGTAGACGCCCTCCACGGAGGAGAACTGCTCGGGGCACATGGGGCACTTGTGCTTCTGGTGGGCGTGGGCCTGGTGGATGTGGGCGAGCAGCGCGCCCTCGTCGCCGAAGGCCTCGGGGCAGTGGATGCACTGCAGGTCGGCCTTCTCGGAGAGCTGCGGGTGCCGCGTGAGCACGTGCTTCTCCAGCGCCTCCGTCTGGCTGAAGGTGTCCTCGCAGTAGTCGCACATGAAGTCGTCCTTGCGGGCTTCCTTCTCGCACTTGGCCAGGTGCTCCTTGTTCTTCTTGTGCGCCTGCATGTGGCTCTGCAGCGAGCTGGTGGACGAGAAGCCGCGCTTGCACACCGAGCACTTGAAGGGCTTGCTGGAGCTGTGCGTCTTCAGGTGGATCTTGAGGTGGTCGCTGCGGGAGAAGGCGGCCTCGCACTCGTGGCAGTGGTACTTCTTGTCGCCCGTGTGCAGCTTGATGTGGCGGTCGCGGCTGCGCTTGTGCTTGAAGAGGCGGCTGCAGTAGGTGCACTTGAACGGCAGCTTGTCGCTGTGGATCTGCTCGTGCCGCTTCAGGTAGCTCAGGCGGATGAAGGACTTGTCGCAGAACTGGCACGGGTACGGCAGGCCCGTGCCCCCTTCCTCCTCGCCCAGGCCCAGGTCGCAGCCATCCCCGATCATCTGCGTGGGGGACGCCACATCCTTGCTGGAGGGAGACGAGGCCACCCAGGAGAGCTGTGGGTCGTCGTCAGCATCTGTGGGGGGTGGAGGGGAAGGCGGAGAGCAGATTAGAGGCGATTCCCAGGGCGGCCGCGAGGCAAGGACAGAGCCAGCGTCTCCACCATGAGGCTGAGGCTCGCAGCTGGCCGGCCGGGGGCGGAGGGGGATGGGGGGCCGGAAGGCAGTGGCCATGAGGGGCCTCCAGGCCGCCGAGCGGGTGGCAGGGGGGTGGCGGCAGGAAACAGAGGGGCCATGCCGTCCCCCTCGGTGACACCTGCCTGGGCCTCGATGGACAAGGTGCCCCCGCGCGAAGGGAGGACTTGGCCCCTTTCCTGAGGGGGTGCAGGGGCCGCTGGGACAGAGTCACCGGAAATGAGACACGTTGCAGCGCCTGATGGAGACCCGGGGTGCCCTCCCTCCCACCCCCTGCCCTGGCGGGAAGCCCTCTCACTGGTCCCGGGGGCATGGGCAACCCTTGGCGAGGAAACACGGCGCATGCTCATGAACGGGGCTGCACCACGTCATGGGGGATGGGGGACCCCGAGGAAGCTGGGCGGCTCCGCCCGGTGGCAGACACACGTGAGGCGGGAAGTCGCAGGCACGTGGCATCGACACCAGGGCACACGCGGGAGCGGGCGGAGGCCACGGAGAAGGGTCTGCGGTTTCCAGCCCAAACCTCGCTAAGGGGCTGTTTTCTTTGCTTCCCTGGACACCGCGGTCACCCAAGCCCGGGGGGTGAGGGGGTGCCTGATGGTGGCTGAGTAGAGGAGGGGCCAGGACCCAGGTGGCCACGGAGCTCAGAGCCCATGGGCCCTTCCATCCCCTGGGGGGCGGGGCTCTCCTCACACAGACGCCCCGTGAGCCCACCTCCCGGGGGCCGGATCCACCCCACCTCCTCCCCGCCCTTGCTGGCCCACCCAGCCTCAGAGGAAAGGAGACAAACAAGGGACTGGCTGTTGCTGGGAGAACAAAGGCACACAGGACGCAGCACCTGCAGCCAGGGAGGGTCCCCGAGAGGCGGCAAGCCCAGCGCCGGGGCAGGAGGGCGTGCCAGGCTCAAGCGGCGCCGGTGGATTTAAAACTTCACAATGAATGAAACGGACCGCAGGCTGCTCCGCGCAGGCGAGAAGCAGACACGGGCGCAGGTTCGGCCGCAC